GGGTCCGTGCTGCTGCCGAACACCACGGTCAGACCGCCGACCGGCCCGGCATCGGGCGAGAAGCCTTGCCACGCCTCGAGCTCGTCGCCTCGCTATAAGAAGTAATCTAAACATTGCGCGCCGACAAAGTAGTCCCCACCTTCGTGATCATGTAAAAACTAAAATTATCAACCACACGGCGATAAATCAATCACCCAATAAATGACTGTAGTTTTTCGTGGAGCATTGGACAGTTATATTTAAGTGAAGTACATTACTGGCACATTTACGAGAAGTAGTGCTCCGATCCCTGCGCTCGCCAGGTTTACTCGTCACAGCGTCTTAGTCTTAGTTGAGTCAGGTCCAGGTCTAGCACGCGTCAGCTAATCAACAATCAATCCACCTTACACTCGCCGCCAAGGTAGGGGAGTCGACAGGGCATCCCGGCCCAGTGCTTCGTGTGGTGCATACTTTCTCTCTAACGCCGTGTTCCTGGCACGCAGTTTAACGCCTCTCGTGGCTCGATGGCGTCGTCAGTGCTGACCCTGGAGCAGCTCCCAGACGACGTTCTCGTGTTGGCGATGCAGTTCGTGTCCGTGGAGGATGTACTCTCCTGGCGCCTCGTGTGCAAGAGGCTCTGCGACCTGGCCCTACACCGGGACGTCTGGCGCCACCGATCGCTCCGGGACGACGAGCCGTGCGCGGACGCGGTGCTGCACCTGGCCCCGTGCCTCGACAAGCTGAAGGTCACGGGCCCAGACCCGAGCCTGGCGGTCACCACGACCCGGTGCGCCGTGGCGTGTTTGGATCTGCGCAAGGCTGGCTACGGCCCCTTTAACGCCGCGGAGTACGCCCTGGCCGTGCGCAACCAAGAGCACCTCGGGCGCCTCAGGAGGCTTGTCCTTGGTGTGGAAATGAACCCCTTGGAGGAGCCGACAGCCGACGTGCTGTTCTGGACTGTTGCCTCGTGTTCCGGCCTGGACCGGCTCGAGGTACTTTACGCACCGCCCATCATCAACCAGCCCGTCGTACATGGGCCGCCTAGCTCGTCGCTAAAGGTTTTCAAGTGCGTGGCGTGCATCGAAACGGTATCTCTTGTGAACACCGTACTGGCCGGGCACGCGGCTACACTGGAGGAGGTTGAGATCTACACAGATTTAGACTTGTGGGAGACCACGACGGCGGACCTGTTGGCCGCGATGCCGAGACTCCGAAGTTTGCGATGCGACTGTTCGATTGGCGGGTTAGAGAAGGTGGCGGAGTGCAAAACGCTCAGAGACTTGGACATTTGCCTGAACGGCTGCACAGGTGATGTCGACAATGCTGCGAAACTCCTCCGCCGAGCCAACCAATTGCGACATGTCCTCCTGGATAACGCTGCTTGGGATGATCCCATCGTCGAGTCCTGGCCGGTGTTGGCCGAGGCTTTGGCTTGGTCCGGGCGGTTCCCATTGGAGCGGCTGGCCCTGAAGGGGTTCGAGGAGGTGGAGTTGCTGGGGCCGCTGATCCGCGCTCTGCCCTCGCTGCCCGCCCTGCGCTTCCTGTACTTGGATACTGAGCCCGTCGACGAGCTGCTCAAGAGCATCAGCCCCGCCATGGCCCCGGCCCTGAGGCTGCTGAGGTTTCCGATCAGGAGAGAGAAGTGTCCGCACGCCTGGATACATAGGACCGCGCTCAAGACCACGCTGCTGGCGAACCCCCTGCTCCACATCCAGCTATGGGGCAACATTTTCCACAGCAGGTCCCAAGATTGCGCGATGTGTGTGGGGGACTGCGACCGCCATCAAGGTGTAGAGTGGCACAACACGAGGTATATGGGGTTCTACTCGCATGACCCTGACACTTGCCCCTGTCCAGAGGATCACAGTGACCACACCGATTGGAAAGGGTCCTCCTCACGTGCCAATAATTTTACGTGTACTTGGATCCATATGAAATGTAATTGTACTTAACTATTGTGGATGCTCCCAACATTTTTTCTGTCAGACATATTAAACAGGGCAATGCCTTTAGCATTATTCGTGCGATAGGTTTCTGAAACGGCGAATGAATGATGATAAATCTTTGGTTCTGATGAAAGAGATGCTCCACTCGTACTCGTACCCTCTCCGACACGCCGTCCGCCGCGCCGGTGCTGGTCGTCACAAATTAGCGAAGTACACATATTAACAACAATATCCTTTACCGATGCTGCAAAAGCTCGCGGACGGAGGGTCGCGTGCAAGGCCTTTAGGCTCGTCTACAATGGACGGCGTAGGATCGCAGGCGCAGGTCGTGGAAAACTGTTTACGGTTTTGGCTGTTGCTGCGCTGGTTTTTAGCGTGTTTCCCCACTCTGTTTTCGTTCCTCAACGCCTTCCAATGAGCTATGTTGACAAATTTGCCTTAGCTACCCCACGATCCCGCTCACGCCTCAACCTACGATCCACGCCTGCGCTCCACGCCTCGCATTGTAGACGAGCCTTTTCGCACACTGCCACGCTTGCGCCACAAATCGAACCATTACGCCGACCGTACAGCCACACCCTGTGTGTCGGGCCTGCCCTCACCTCCCGCGGTACGAGGCCCTTGTTCCGGTATGGCGCGGGACAGGAGCCCATTGAGGCCTGGAGGGGGTGGAGGAGGGGTGGCTTTTGTCTCGAATCCACGAAACGAGGGTCGGCTTTCGCGAGGCCATGTAGTAACAAAAGCGGTGGGGCGGACACCGCGCCCGTGAGGGTGCAATAGCCCGTGAAAGAAAAGTTTACCGGCTTACGTATATTTCATTTTTGTATACAAAATAAATGTTACGTTGAAAGAATCCTTTGGCCCTTCCTCCGGTCGCCGAGCGGTTGGCCGTGTGCCGTGTGCGGCGGCGTGGGCGGGGAGTCGGTAGGCCAGGAGGGCTCATCTAGCGTCGCCATGACTCGCTCATTAGACCACTCCGGACGTCCCTAATTGGCGGCTTGTGCTCGCCCAGGCGGGTGGGCTGCCGGCCTCGAGACGGGGATTGCCCTCTTCCTGGGCGAGGGGCTCTTTTTATTTCTCCTCCAAAAATAATGAAAAAAAAAAAATGAGCTCACTTTCTAACTAAAATTTCTCGCCCTTCCATGTCGAGATTCATTTTACAATCCAGAGAGCAATTCGCAGATTACAGGCTTGCGGGGAGCAGTCGGGCCCGAAAGCGTGTGAAAGGAAGAGGGGGAGGGGGGGGGGGGCTTGAGTTCACCATAGCTAGCCAAACTCTCGTCTGCCTGCCCCCCCCCCCCCTCCCCGCGCCTAGGGCACTGCTGCTGGGGGTGTCGGGGCGGGGCGGGCGCTCCCCCCTCAAGGTCGGGGCCTTTCCTCTACAGGGAATAGTTTTCGAGTCGGGGCGGCGAACGACGGCACCCAAGTAGTAGTAGTCCCTTTACTTTTACTCGCCACGACGAGAAGCTCCGCCTCAACAGCACAACTCGACAATAATTGTTTTCTCTTGTGTCGACAGCATGAGGGGGCCGGAGGGGCAGCGCGCGCAGTAGTTCCACCGCACCACTCGTGAGTACCGACAACAGCCCTCTTCTTACCGTGAATGATATCATACTTAACTTTTATTTCGTGTAAAACAAAAAGAAGTAAATAATCGATAAGGTTACATTTCTATGAATTTAATACGGCAATCGGAGTTTAATTCGTTTGCGGAAGTTCGTCTCCGGAGGCATCGTTGCCCAGCTCCTGCCTTAAAGGAGGGAGAGAGAGAGAGAGGGGGGGGGGGGAGAAATGAAGCGGAAAAGTTTAACATAATCCGCACATTAAAAGTCGGCTCGCGGTGGTGGTCCGTAGAGGATGGCCAACACGGCGCACCTGGTGCGGCGGCAGTCGTCGCGGGACCTGAACCCGCAGCGCTCGCTGGACCGCCTCGAGATGAAGGAGATGCGGGGCCGCCTCGTGGTGGAGAACGGCAGCACCTCGCTCAGCTACAACTATGGCGCCACCAACGCGGCCTTCGACGACACCAGCCCCAACACCAAGGTGAGTGTCTCTCCTATCTTCCGTGTTTGTTTATTTGCATCGCCAAAAGCTTCCTCCTCTCTCCCCGCCCGGGGACTTGATCGCAACGCAGCACCGGCCGCCAGGCAGAATGCCATCAAGCAGTTTGCTTTCGCCCCCCTCCGCCGTTCCTCGGCACGGCCTCCCGCGCCGTCCGGGACCAGGATAAATCGAGTTTGGTACACCGACATCGATCAGCTGTTCGTGTGCGCCGCGCGGCACACGCATCCGGGAGGGAGGGGAGTTGGAGGGCGGGGAGGGGCTGTGAATGCGTTGAGCCCCCCCCGGGGGGTAACTGTACCTCACTCCCTTGGCCTTCTCTGGCGCCCTCAATGCTAATCTACCCCCGGAGCGGAGCGCCCCCCCCCTTTCCCCTTGTCCCTCCCTTTCTCTCCATCTCATTCACACCCCACTGCTTTTCTTTCTCACTCTCACTGTCTCTCTCTCTCCACCCACTGCAATGTCAGATCGGCAAGGTGACATCGGCGAGCAAGCTGGCGGGGTCGACGGAGGGCAAGGCCATGTTCCAGCCCGAGGGCGGCGGGGAGGAGCGCGAGTCGTGGGACAGCAAGCTCACCTTCCTGCTCGCCACCATCGGCTACGCCGTCGGCCTGGGCAACGTCTGGCGCTTCCCTTACCTCGCGCAGAAGAACGGCGGCGGTGAGTAAAAGAAGAGAGTGAACCTCCAGGAACCTCGTAAACCCCCTGCAGCGTTCTCCTGGTCCCATTCCTCGCGCGGAATCGCTCGCGGGTGTGGCGCGCGCGGGTCGCTCAAGTTCAGAGTGCGGCTGTCGCGGCGCGTCTCGTCCACGGTCGCTGCGCGCGCGCTCCCGACCCGAGTCCTACGGCGCCCTGTTTCTTTCGTCTCGGCGAAGGCAAAACGAGAAAAAGGAAAAACGGTGCCCAAACGAGGCAAACATAAAGACACACGCCAGGCGTCTGTTCTGCGCTGTGGATAGCGAGGAGAGGGGGGACTTTGCCTTCTGGTAGAGACAGTCTTTGGGAACTGTGTAAAAAGTACTGATTGTGGAAAAATTCACCACAAGTTTTTGACAGTGCGTTTGCGATAGTCTTGGAACGCTGTTCAGGTGATTGTGATGCGCAGTATCTGCAGTACTATCTTCTTTTCTTACTTCGATGTTCCTTAGCTCTCGCTGACGACACGCCACGCGTTCCTGTGGCATATATAGGACGGGCGACGGGGTAGATCGTAAGGGGTCCGCCGGAGCGGTCTTCGCCATCCTGGCTATCCGAGCAGGTTTCTGCTTGTCAGTTGGGTTCTGGCGTCTGGTGTGGTGCAAAGCAGGCGAGGTGCTCGCAGCTTGTACAGCCGGGAAGATGGTTCCGTAATCGACCCTCATTTTTTTATCCGTTTCTTACGTTTACCCCCTTTCTAAAGCATTGACCACACACAAAACTCTAGTCGTTTACCGCCCGGTCTATACCTTTAAGCGACTGGGCGCAATTCTTGTTCAGTGACGGTGACGAGGCTAAAAATGCAAATTACGTCAGGTTTGCAGGAGCTAAAGGGAAAGTTGCTGGCCATAAACTCTAGAGGGACATATGGCGTAGGCATATCGTACAGACACCGGGAGGCACGGCGACCATACAAAAACAGTTCAATTTATAGCTCGATTCTCTTTCATCCTTTCTTAGTACATTCGACAGTTTCAAGCCCAGCGCGTGTGTCCCACGACTCGGACAGAAATCATGTTGCGGGGAAGGGGGGGCGCACTATGCTGCTAGCTACGACTGGGCCCAAAGGGCGCGGCGCGAAACGAACCTATGAATAAGAAATGTAAATTACATATCCTAATGTGAATAAAGTAATCAACATTTTAATCTGAAGAATTCAGTTGGCAATTCGTGGGGAAATGTTAATCGTCTTTTGGTCTTGCGTAGTGCATATATGAGTTCGAGTTATCTCAAGTTGATCCCACTCTCGCGTGGAAAGTACACGGAGGGCGCTCCCCGTCTGCTCGTCTTGCTCGTAATCCTCCCCGCCCCCTACTTTTTCCTGTCCGGCCCAGGCTGCGCTGCCCCGGCCTGTCTCGCTCTCCTTTCTCTCTCCTCCGCACTTTTTTCCCTTCGGCTATCCTAGTCGATTTATTCTTGCCGACGCGTTTTATCGGAGAAGTGAATTTTGTCTGATGGGGTTAGGGTTGTCCTGCCCGCGGGCGAGGTAAATGGTAGGGAAAGAAAAAGGGGGTGGAAGGGGTGTGTGGGGAGGTTGCGTCTCGCAATATGCGACCCACAATGAAAGGCTCGGGAGGGAGGGAGGGAGGGGGTTGGAGGGGTGGAAACGAGACACAGAGATGCAGAGGGAGGGGGCCCTCATATCAGCCTCTCCCTTTCAATGGGCCACCGCTGCAGTGCCGGAACCACACTGCGGGGCGGGGCGCCGCCGCTTTGTGACAAACCGCCGACGGGAAACGAGTGCGTTTCAAATATTCGATCTCTAAAGAATACGTGTTATATGTATATTCTGCAATTATTCATATCCTGAAAAAACAAAGATATAAAACTGAAGGCGTATTATTATTTAAACTAAAATCAAATTTTCCCCCAGGTGCGTTTCTTATCCCCTACTTCATCATGCTTTGCATCGAGGGCATCCCAATCTTCTACCTGGAGCTCGCCATCGGGCAGCGGTTGCGCAAGGGCGCCATCGGCGTCTGGAACCAGGTGTCTCCGCGCCTGGGCGGCATCGGCATCGCCTCGGCCGTCGTCTCCTTCAACGTGGCCCTGTACTACAACACCATCATCGCCTGGTGCCTCTTCTACTTTGTCCAAGTATGAATAATATTTTCGTAGACCCTTACTCTACTGGAAGTGTTTGTGAGATAAACTTATTCTCGTGTTTCTATGTTTCCCCCAGAGTTTCCAGTCACAACTTCCATGGGCAGAGTGTCCACAGAAATACTTCGGCAACGGCTCTTACATACTGGAACCCGAATGCGTTGTGAGTAGTCTCATACTAAGCGTGTGAATGGTAATGTAAGAACTCTTTCTTCCGTGACGCTCAATGACTTGTGCTCTCGTCGCAGACGTCCACACCCACGCAGTACTTCTGGTACCGCACCACCCTCATGGTGTCCGAGGACATCAACAGCCCGACGTCCTTCAACTGGAAGATAGCCGTCGCCCTGGTCATCGCGTGGATCCTCGTGTACATGTGCATGATCAAGGGCATCGCCTCCTCGGGGAAGGTGAGCTTCAGCCGCGGCCCACGGGGAGCGCCCGCAGCCTAGGCCGTCCCGCGGCACAGCTGAGCGTAACGGGACGGCCTACCTCACAGGGGCCCTACCCGGCCGGACCGCGCGGCAGCTTCAGAGCGTCGTTCCGTCGTCGGTGCTCCTTGGCGTTCACTCACCCGCCTGCCTTGCCTTCTCCCGCAGGTCGTGTACGTGACGGCCACGTTCCCGTACATCGTCTTGATCATCTTCTTCTTCCGCGGCATCACCCTGAGAGGCTGCACGGACGGGCTGCGGCACCTCTTCACGCCCAAGTGGCACACCTTGTCCGACCCGGTGGTGTGGCTCGAGGCCGGGACGCAGATCTTCTTCTCGCTCGGGCTGGCGTTCGGCGGCCTGATCGCCTTCTCCTCGTACAACCCCGTCAACAACAACTGCTCCCGGGACGCCATCATGGTCTCGCTCACCAACTGCTTCACCTCCATGTTCGCCGGCATCGTCGTCTTCTCCGTCATCGGGTTCAAGGTAAGGCCATCCGACCGGGCGGCAAGCCAGCCGGGGGTCGCAGGACGCGCTCTCCAGGTCCGACGGCAAACCTCTTGTTCCAGGCCACCATGAGCTACGAGCGGTGCCTGGACCTGCGCAACGCCACCCTGGCCGCGTGGGAGGCGGCCTCCACCACCGCCATCTCGGCGGTGAACCCGCTCACCAGCACGGCCATGAGCAACGCCATGCCCGAGCTGCCCGAGTGCGACCTGCAGAAGGAGCTGGACAACGTGAGTCAATACTCCGACCTATGGCGCCTCGCGCGCCCTCCTCGGCCCCCTACCGGTCCCTCCGCGCCGAAGCGACTATCCTTGAAGCGAAACAAAAAGTTTACCCTCCGGGTACTATTTGGGCATCAGCTGTGACCTTGGGGGAAACTCCCCTCCGCCGGTAACGGCTGCAAGGGGGCCGAGTTTGTGACGCGGGGGGGGGGGGGCAGCAAGGGGCAGCACCCGCTGCCGCCCCGCTGCTCCACAAGCTTGTTTGCAAGCCCTTGACTCTGCCTGCAGTCGGCAGCCGGGACGGGCCTCGCCTTCATCATCTTCACCGAGGCCATCAACCAGTTCCCCGGCGCGCAGTTCTGGTCCGTCCTCTTCTTCCTGATGCTCTTCACGCTCGGCATCGACTCGCAGTTCGGTACGCTCGAAGGCGTCGTCACCTCCATCGTCGACATGAAGCTGTTCCCCAATCTCAGGAAGGAAGTGCTCACTGGTGAGAAATTAGTAACCTATACTTATGCGTGTCAAGTCACCGCATACTGTACCCCGGTAAAATGAAAATGCAACAAGACAAACTAACTGTTCTATGTTTTTTAAAGGCGTGCTGTGCCTCATCTGCTGCGTGATATCCATGTCCTTTGCCCACGGGGCGGGGAGCTACGTCTTCGTTCTGTTTGACAACTTCAGCGGCAACTTCCCTCTGCTCATCATCGCCTTCTTCGAGTGCATCGCCGTGGCCTACGTGTACGGACTTAAAAGGTACGACAGCTGATATATACAACGAGACGCCGCGCGAGTCGGCAACCCAACCTACGCGGTGGTCTGGGTTGGGCGGCACCAGAGGGCACGTTCACGTTCCGACGACACCGACTGACTTTGCAGATTCGCGGACGACATCGAGCTGATGACGGGCTCCCGACCGCACCTGTACTGGCTCATCTGCTGGAAGTACCTCTCGCCGCTGGCCATGCTGTGCATCCTGGTGGCCTCCTTCGTGCAGATCGCCATGGACGGCTCGGGCTACCAGGCGTGGGTGGCCGACAAGGGCGTGACGGAGAGGCACGAGTGGCCCGTCTGGGGGCTCGTGCTCATCGCCGTCCTCATCCTGGTCTCCGTGTTGTGGATCCCACTCGTCTGCGTCTGCAGGTAAGGACTTTAGGAAAACGGGCGTCATGGTCGGGGGACGCGCACTGTCGCCAACTTGACCCTCTTCACCGACGCACAACCTCTCTGCCACAGGATGTTCGGCGTCCAGGTGATCGAGGACAGCGAGAAGGCGTGGTTCCCGGCCTCCGACCTGCGCGAGTTCCACGGCATCGTGCCTCACGAGGTGACCACGGCGGAGACGCTGCTCTTCTGCATCCGCGAGGACGGCAGCGAGGGCCTGTGCTGCCCGACGGGCGGCCCCGCGTCCAGCGACGAGGAGGACGACGACGCGTAGTGCCCCTCCCCTCGTGACGCGGCCGCTGGCTCGGGCTCGACTGCACAGGTTCCTCCGTACTCCTCTCCAAGACTCAAGACCTAGTAGGTTTATTTTGCATCGAGTTTAGTCGCAAAAGTGTTTCGTCCTAGAAGCGGTCCCGTCGTTTGCTTCACCAAAAGTGTCATTGTGTTCTTCTCAATTTCTCTGGTCAGATTGCCCGTAGCGGTGTATACTTTGTTCCCCTCCGGAAGTCGCTGCCGCGATGACCCCTGTGCGTGGCGATGGCCCGTGCGTTCATCTGGCTGAGCCGTAGCGATCCTCGCGGGCGAGGGTTCAACGAAACGCTCGAAACGCACACAAATGCAGTCACGACACAACGAGCGTGTCGGACTGTTAGGGATGCTAAGCCCATAGTGTAGTTTGGTTAGAGGAGAAAGGGTTGTTCCCTTCCGAGGTACTCACGCTTCCCTGCTCGGGAATAATCCCTTGAGTGGCGAGCTGCCTATTTTGTTTGGTTGTTTAAAACTTACGCCCCTCTAAGAATAGGAAGCTGGAACACAGAAACTATTTTGTATTGGGGGCAGACGAAGTCATAGAACGGAGGCGTAGTGACGAAGTAACAGCATTTGAACAAAAGTTAAGGTTTTTCCAGATATCAATTAGACAGAGTGTGTCACCCGCATACAGAAAGAGCCTACTGTGCTCTCATATCACTTAGACTGTCACGGGGATGTTATCTACGTAGAGTTGGCTAGAAGAGTTTATAATTTTGTAATCTCGTGTCTCCCTGAACTCAAAATTGCCTTTCTGACGAATGACGCATTGTGAAAAGTGATAACGTGCACAGCGTAATGTGGCACGTGGAGCGGCGGATATTCTCTCGGCCAACTCGGCGCCGGAGAGCACCCCTCTTCGAACTTAAAGTCAATTGTTTCGAGTGCGTTTGTGTGTGTGCACAACAATCTGTTTCCTAATCCCTTTAAGCTCTATTTGTCAAATCTCAACAACAACAAAAATTATGACGTGTAAAGATGTGTGAATCCCACATGATGAGGCACTCCGAATGCGCTGGGTGCCACTGTGTTGTAGAGAGCCGCCGTTGACTGGAGAAACACCAAACTGTTTACATATGTTTATGGATTGATGGGTGACTAGAACGAATTCGCACTTTAGATTCACATAATGGTCAATATTCAGACTTTGTCAAAGAAATCAATTGCTTTAACACATGAGCATTCAACACTGCCAGAGGTTGAGAAAGTTAAATGTTTTCCCTCTTACCCATTTTGAAATCACAGTAATCCGATCTAACGTACCTTTAATAAGGAACTCTTACGTAAGAGCTACACAGATTGTTATTTTCGTGAACATTTAAACACTTGCACGTAACTCATAAATAAATGTAAAGTGTATTCTACTATCTGTGATACTTTTCATATAGGCGAGAACTAAAGTGCAAATTCGCGTTATGAAGGAGAATAAACATTTACCAGGTGCCAGTTCGTCGAGTTACTAGAAGACCTGAATGTTTAGCATTTGAAGTGGGTTGGGCGTGATGGAAGGAAGCAGGAGTTGGTTACATGCTAATTTGGGATACTATTAGTTCCTCGATGCCGTCTGTTTGCAACTGAGAAAATGTTTCTGTTGTTAGTTTTGTGTTAAATGTTTTCGGCGCAAGACGGTTTTGTCTTTGCGCCATTATTATAAAATTATACATGTATATTGTACAGTTACAGATACGTTTTTGCCTCGATGTACAATTCCATATTAGAAGATGTAACTGATCAATTTTTTGAGAATGATAATTGAGAATTGTTACTTCGTGTGAATATCACGAGGCATCAAAGAGTAGTTAGGAATGTGGGCCCGTCCTTTTTCTGCAAAATGGTCGAATCAGCCATTCATCCAAGAATCATTTTTCAGTAGGCATTTTTATCTGGGCGCCTGGCTGTTCACAAGCCTATGGCTTTATATGCAAGACCTGCCTTGATAGGGGTTTAGTTAAAGGAAGCTTCCGATTCGTGGTGTGTCGTAATTTCTTCGGCGGCCCAATTTTGCCAATTTTGGTTTTGAGCCATTACATAAAAGAGGGAAAAGTGATTTCAAAGTGTAGCACGCCTACACGGACCTCATGTAGCTGTTCATCGTGAGTGTAGATAAAGGACACAGCCCGGAACTTTAGACTTACTGTAATATCATCTAATGTAAAAACTTTATTGTTTGTAAAAGCTATATGTGTGTAGTTTATAATTCTTCTGTACGTAATAAGACGTTTAATGGCTGTACTTATTTTATGAGACTATGGCATTTTTGAATGGTTAAGTTCTGAATGACAATAACTTGTTATATAAAACGAAATATCCATAACGTGCTAGACTAACTACTGTAGTTAACGCCACCGGCTTATCACAGCAATATCAGCAAAGACTGTGTAGAAGTAGTAGGAACTGCGAATACACCATTCAATGGGAAATTCAAACCCCGTTTGTTTAGGGATCATCCAGAAAGTACGTCCGTCATTCGCCGTTACGAACCGGCCCAGTTCTTCAACTGCTAGGTCTCATCGCGCCTGGTAGGTAGGCAACATCTTTCCTGCTGTGCATGCGTGTACTACCGGGTGGCCTACCCCAAGCCTCGCAGACGCCTAGGTCTAGGCAATTTGCCGATCCAATCTAAGAGAAACGGGCGTACTTTCTGAATTATCTCTTACGAGAAGCATCGTGCAAGTGCAAAAAACATTGTGGATCGAACCCATGGCCCTACCCCTTGACATACAATTCTTCGGTACGGTCGAGTCGGAGCCGAGGATGTGAATTTTGGTTGGACGAACGGGAAACTATCTGATCCCATTGGTGCTACCGTAGACTACTTTATCTTCATTCTTTTAATTTTTAATTGAGATTGCAATTTTGGCAAAGTGGCCCGGTGTGTTCAAGCGCCTAAAAGACGACAAAGGAAAATGCGAGACAATAAAGTAGCTTAGTCTTTTTAATTGTAAACTTGTACGCTGCATACGGCAGTCTTTTTTCGCCTTGCTGTAAGCCCCTCCCAATCGTGGATTTTGTAACTTATTTTGACGCTGTTTGCACAAAACGTAATTTCACGAATCGCCATAATCTGCCTGCAGTGCTTTTACAAGCGATGTCAGATAAATAAACATTTGTGTACGCGCTTGCAGCACGTCGATCAAGACAATATCAATCTAAGCTTTGGTGTTATGCTATATATTATTTTATGTGATTATTTTCAATACTGACAATAAGTTGTATGTGTGATATTTGTTTTTGAAACATTTTACTTACCTTGTTTTGGGATGAGATTTTTGACGGCCTTTTAGGTTAACGCATACCCGTGTTTTGCCTTAAAAGACAATAATTTTGGCCTCAATCTAATCAGTGCATTGCAATACTTTTATTGCTTCAGAACTTATCTTTATTGTCGGACTAGGATTCGAATTTGATAGCGTGTTGTGAACTGAAAGTTATATTTGAATGTGATACTATTTCAAAGATACTCATTTTTGTCAACCTTAGTATTTATTTTTCTCCGCCGTTGAAGATTGTCGTTTAAGTTAATTATTGTTTCGTCCCTACGCCCTAATCCTTGATTTTACAAGCTTATCAATGAGTTGTTGGAACGAAAAGCACTTTGTATTAAATGTTGGTTTTATGACTACGCCTACTTTCCAATTGAACAGAGAGGAACATGATATGCTACTGCTCGTGCAGCACTGAGACTTATCCTGCACTGTTCAAGAAAACATAGGCGTAGGGGCGCTATAAAACTTTCAGATTATGTGTAAATACTTGTTGTCCTCTAATGTGTAACGTATTGTTTGTTGTGAATTATTGTTAAAATGTGGGCTGCAAATAAAGAAACCAAAACACTTGCACGGATCGTAAAAACTTCTCACGTGTAACCGTTTTGCCCACTTCACTGGCGCCGGGGCTTCGCCTATCTTACTCCGTGTTGAGTGCATGCAGCGCCCTGGGTAGGCCAGCCCGCCAAGCAGCTCTGTCGAGAGGTCGGCCTGCCCTCAGCGCCGCAGTACTACTGCACTGGGGTTCGAGCAAGGAACAAACAGTGCATATATGCTGAACATCAAACATTTTATTTGACGCATTTTATACACACTTATCTGACAGGTAAAAAAATCTTATAAATACTTCACAGTTTTTTTCGTAACCTAATTTTTACATATAGAAAACCAGCTAAATACATCATTCGATAGTTCCGTTTCGAGCACGACGTGAAATGTGGAATTTTACTTGCACATCATCGGGTCTTGAGATCTTTATAGGCGATTACATTCACCAATATAAAGCTTCCCGTCGCAAACTATCTATCGAAAGTACACTTGACTACGACAATTTAAAAATACATCTAGCTGAAAATGGTCTTTGCAATAATATGCAATACATACTTTCCAGGCCTCATGGTTAGGGCATTCACGTTGAGCGAATGGCGTGACCACAATACCCGAATATCGTTAAACATGACTTTGGCTACTGCCAAATAAATAGCACACAAGAATTCACATCCTGCCTGCATGCACTAGCGTACAACAAACAGTTGCAAACCATATAATCCTTCTCTACAAAAATAAGATCTAATAAGATTAATGTCGAGGTCTAGAAGTGAGAGCGCGAGAGACGCAAAAATAATTTTAAATTAAAT